AGAGAGAGAGAGAGAGAGAGAGAGAGAGAGAGAGAGAGAGAGAGAGAGAAATTATATGAAAAGATCTAGTTTTGTAATTGCAGATTTAATGACAAATTTGATGTTTCCCAGTTGACCAGAGCTTTCAATCCAGTAAACAAGAGATGGGAGTTTAAAAGTTAAATTCATTAAATGCCGTCAGACGTTCTGTTGTATTTAAGTTCTGCTTTTTACAATTCCAAGAGAAGCCTAAACATTACAGAAGTTATGTTTAAGAACCTTCCCCGCCCCCTCCACCTTTTGGGGTACCATGAATCAAATCTAGGCCTCTCTGCATGCTAAAAACATACTCTTCCACTGCATTACCACAGAGCTGTGGGATGGGGTACAGTGATAAAATGGTGATTCTCAGTGCAGATGAGCTGGCCCTACCTCCAGGAAGCAGTCTAACTAGAATCTGAGATGAGCTATATAACTAAACTTTCATAGCTGCTGATACTAAAGACATAACATTCAAGAATTTTCATTTATAATAATGAACACTTATAAATGCGAGCCTGAAGAATATGCTTGTTTTTTTTTTTTTTATGTGATTTTGAAGCCAATTCTGGGTATTGACTTGGGTTAATTCTAGGTTAAACAGTGGCGCTCAGCTTCTGTTAAAGTGAGAATTACAGGATGGAAGTTTGTATGAGAAATATTGGCTTCTCTGTTAACGTGCTGGGGGTTAAAGAGAAAAATAGCTTATTTTAGAATTTACTTACCGATCATAATACTTGGTACCAGTTGGTAGCTTTCATTTTCTAATAGCACGTGTGCGCGCACGTGCACACACACACACACACACACACACACATACACACACACCACACTTGTGATAATAAAAACACTTATTACTGTGCATTGGTAAATGTTTTCAATGATTGCCTGTGCCTTGAAAAAGTCAACAAAATGTGAGGGTTAGATTTTTCGCTCATTTTAATATGCACTGTATTGTATATATAGTGAATATTCAAGATGAATGAGCTTTTTTTAAATAGCATAACTATTCCCAAAGTCAAGTAGAGAAGAATTTGATGCCAGTTCTCAGTGCCAAGCATGCAGGAGGCTACTTTCCAGATGCCAGGGGTGGGTCACGTGGTGTTTCACCCTTCTGGTCCATGAAACGGAGGCTACATTTTAACAGTCGGCTGCTATCTATAGATGCTGAACTCATGTTTAGTGCACTTTATGCCAAATTGATCTCTGTGTGTGTCTTGATTTGGAAATCGGAGAATCTGGTTTCCCTTTCCTGCTCAAATGTCTTGAGTTAATCCTTCATGCCCTGCCTATGTGCTTACATGCTACATTGTTGGCAAAGTCAAGTTTCTCTTCACGTTTTGTGGTTCTGACAACATTTGGGGGCGATGAAGTTGGTGATGCATCTAAGTTGTTGTCCATCATCAGACATACTCAGTTTTCCTGTGTTGTAAAGCATTTTTTTTCCAGGATATACTCCTGTGACTCTTGTAAGGTGGAATCCAACACCGTGGAGGACGGTCGCAGGAAACTTTGAGAGGCAACGTGCGCTGCTGTTACTTTCTCGCTCCCACTTGGCCTACAAGACACTTGCCATCTCCTGGCATCTCCCTGCCATGCTCCCTACGATCTCTCCCCCATGTTCACCGATGTGAGGATGGGGCTCTCACCCTACGTGGGTTTCTGTCATTTGCAGAGTATCCACGTCTTGGAGAGAACAGCGTCCTCAGGCACGGAGCCGTCTGTCAGTCGGCAGCTGCTAGAGCCGGAGCCCATCCCCCTCTCCAAGGTCAGTGATGGTGTGATGGCTCTCACAGGTCACCCAGTGTGAGCTGTGAATAGCATGGACTCTTGACTCTCTTAAGGTAGCTGTGAAGCCAACTGTCAGGCTTCTCTGCCACTTTTTCTGCTTCCTGTACAGAGACTTCTTCTGCCTTGTGTGAGGGGAGAATAGAAAGAATTATATTTCCCTTGAATTTCCAAGGTTATATGTGATGAAGATCTAAAAGTATCTGAAGGAAAGAAATAAAGAAAAACATTGTTATTTGCTCTTGGAGGGATAAGCAAATAATTCCATGGTTAATTAATGTGGGAAAAAGAAATCACCAATCCAGCAATCATTATTGTCCAAGTACTGTATACTAGTACTGTATACGAAGTGCTTCAGTACATTATCACATTTGAAAAGTAGCCCCTTTGACATTTAATGAAACTGGAAACTCAGGGTGTTCCTAAGACAAAAAAAAAAAGCTGTTAAGTAGCAGGGTGGGATACAAACTAGATTTGCCCAGTTCTGTAACCCATGCTGTCCGTCCCTACCTCACCTGCAAGGGCCAAGGGTGCCTACACCAAGTGGCCATCACACATTGTGACTTCTGTCTCTGTCTGGTGTCTACCTTCCAGCAGTGACTCTGGGGAGAACAGTACAGGGTAAGTCTCTTTCTGCATCGTGGAAGCCAGGGGTCCTTCCTCTTCGGCTTGTTCTCCCTCAGATTTGGGAAGCATCCAAAGTTATTTACATCTAAAATGCCAAAGTCCCTAGAGAAGATGGGCCTCCACTCGTCCACATCCCCGTGAGATGTTCATCAGGGCAGATGAATGAGCTGGTTCCCTGATGGAAAGACTGTGAAAAGAGAAGACATGAAGATTTCAGGTTCACATAAAAACAGCTTTATTTCCTGAAGATGATTAGTTATAAATGTGTACAACTGATCCTGACGCTTCACTTCCTATATAAAACCTAAACTTTTTTTTTTTTTTTTTTTTTTTTTGTTTTTCGAGACAGGGTTTCTCTGTGTAGCTTTGCGCCTTTCCTGGAGCTCACTTGGTAGCCCA